CATGATCATTCTTTGCCCAGATTTACCACATTATGTCTGCTTAGGTTTGTTTTAACCACAGAGAATATATAAAATCTGTGAGCCAAACTGGGAATTTATTTTATATCTGTGTAAACTCAGAAGATGCCTTTTGACACAATCTATTCATTTAATCATTCAGCCAGTATTAACTGAGCACCTGCTATATGCCCGGTAATGTGCTAGGTGCTTGCCACTGCTTCCCACTTAGCTGTCCGTTCTGTGGGGAGACAGGCAGCTTTGTCATAAGTAGGATATGTGTCCTAATGAGGAACGTTTCAGGTGGGGTGGCAGCAGTGTGGGGCAAGATGGCAGTTTAGGAGGCAGGCTTAGCCAAGCCCGGGAAAAGCAGTGCCCAGGCCATCACGGGATGAGACTGCATTCCGTGCGCAGGCAGAGGGGGCTTTCTGGGGAAGCTTGGGTTTCAGCTCTGCTGGGGTGTCAGGTGCAGGGGGATGGGTGGTAGCGACAGGAGATCAGGAGCCAGATCACGAGAGGGAGGGAGGGAGGGAAGAAGGAGCTTGCCCTTGATCCCTGATGCAATGGAATGTGTCATTATCAAGTTTACATTTTAGTAAGCACCCTGCCTGCTGTGAGGGGAGTCACTGGAGAGGGAAAAGCCAGAGGGAGGGAGATCAGGAAGGCTGCTACGGCAGAGGTCTCCGTTATTGCCGACACAGGTCTGGGTTGGAGAGGGTCAGTGGCAGTGGAGAGAAGGTTATGGGGTTGAAGCGGTAGGGCTATCAGGACTCAGTGACTGACACAATGGGGGGGTTGGGGGAGGGGAAATCTAGGGTGACTTTCTGGCTTGGGTAACTAGGGGACTGTGGTGCTGAGGAGGGTGTAAGAGAAGCAGCTAGTGGGAGAGGTAGAGAGGGTACCTTCTCTTTGGTGTGAAGATTGTCTGAAGTGCTATGGGACATTCAGTTGGAGATTTAAGGAAGCAGCGAGTGTTTGGGGCTAAGGAGCCAATTTAGAAGCCACACTGTGCAGATGGTAATAAGCCATGGGTGGTGGTGAAATTCCCAGAGAGGGATACTGTGAGTAGGAAGAGGGCACATCTCCAGGATAACTTCTTTTTTATTAAAATACTCTCAGTTAATAAAGGCTACAATGTTAGGTTCTAAGGCCAGATTCATATAAACATTAAAGTGAAAATACACTTCAAATTTATTTGTGCTTTTTGTTTTGTTTTGTTTTTTGGATAAAGAATCCAAAAAAAAAAGAGAGAGAGCTTTCTCTTTCTCTTCTCATATGTCGAATTTTGCACCCTGAAGCATTACAAATATGTAACATGATGGTTCTTTTTATTCCCGGAACATTGAGTGTGTGGGGGCAGTGGGAAATGTCATTAAACAAATGCTTGGGAGGAGATTATTTCTCATCGTTGTGCCCAAGGTCACAGAACTGAAGCCAAGAGCAGCCCTGGACCTCAGCCAATGTTGTCCTTACATGTGGTTTCCAAGATCAACCAGGCTTCAGGGCCATAGATGACAAAAGTCAGGCTTGCATGAACTGAGCAGCTCTGTCATCAAATGAAATCTAAAATACACAGGCTAATCTGACCCCTATTTAGCAAAATTACTATGCAGCATGCTGATCAGGCATCAATGGAAGGCATTTGACATAAATGATTATATTTAACATTACTCTTATATAGCCTAACCGGATCTTCACAGTTCTTTCCTCCCTGACAGTTTATTCATTTATCCACTCTACAAGTATTTCCTGAGACTGTAATATATGCCAGACACTTTTCTGGACCCTGGGGAGTCAGACAAGATTTCTGCCCCCTGCCCCTCCTCAGTCAAGCTCATGCTGCAGTGTGCAGACTGTCACTGAACAATGGACTTCATCCACAGTGAGCAAGGATGCAAAGCTTCCCTTAACACTGTTTGCTGTCTTTATGTCCCTGCAGCGACACCCATGAATTAAAGGACATGAGTTCTAGGCCTCCAGCAGCATTGTGGCCTTTGTCTTTTATTTTCCCCTTTCTCCCTATAGGAGGCATTACCTGGGCCCTTCCCTTCACTGAACGAATATGGGCTGTGCACCTGTTTTGTATATGCAGGCTCTGAGGATACAACAGTAAACTAGAAACAGTTTTTGCCCTTTAGAAGTCCACACTCGTCCCAGGTGTAGACACATGCAGCAGCCACAGAAGGGAAAGTGCTGGTATCTGGGCCACTATAGGCTGCTGTGACAGCCCATGGAGAGACACCTGGCCTGGCAAGGGGCAGGGGCTGGAGAGGACCCCCTTCAGGGAGAGGGAGTATGGCAAGCACAGGAAACCACAAGCTGCTGGGCATGGCTGCAACATTGAGTGTATGAGGGAGAAGCATGTATTTAAACATACAGAAAAGTGAACATTATCGTGAATGTCAGCTCAGTGAGTATTCACACACTGAACACACTTGTGTAATCAGCACCCAGAGTAAGAAACAGGACCTCACCAGCACCTGCAGAAGACCCCACATGTCCCCTTCTAGTCACTGCCCATCCCCAGGGGTAACCACTAACTAGATGTATAACAGCACAGAATGGTTTTTGTGTCTGCTTTGGCACTATGTAGGGATAGAATCATACTTTACACATTCTTTTGTGCCTGGCTTCTTTTGCTCAATATAATGTTTATGAGATTCATCATTATTCCTTTTTATTTCCATACAACTTCCACTGTGTGAACATACATTGTATTTCTCCATTTTGCTGCTAGAAATTTGGGCAGTTCCCAGTTTGGAGGAATTCCGAGTGCTGCCATGGACATTCTAGTCCATCCTTGGTGAGCATGCACATACGCTTGTTACTGAACAAATGGACCCGTGGGGTGGGGGTGTGCCCAGATGCTATTAACAAAACAATGCCCCCCCGCTTTCCCAGGGTCCCTCGGTCGTAGGTCCTTTGCTCGCCACCTTTGGAATTATGGCTCTGAATGGCAGAGTTTGGTGAAAAGGAAAGGAACTATTTATTCAAAATTTATACAGGTTTGATTAATGGCTAAATGTCGCTCTTAAACCTCAAAATCCATTTAAAACAATCACCAGCACACACACAGTCCTGCCTTCCCCACCTTTGCCCAGTTAGGCCAGTCAGGCCAGTGGGAGGTACCGTCCTTCAGAAGAAAAAGAACAGAAGTCCAAGACTCAGCTAGGCAGGCCTCTCATGGATCTCAGCACCATCCGCTGCGTTGCCGCGATCTCCAGCTCTTAATCCATAACCATGTGGCACCTTCTCATGGCCCACCAGCAAGAGTCCTTTCTCCCCTCTTTCTTCCCACACAGTCTTCACACTGTTCCCCAGAGTCTGTGTCCCTTTGTCTCTCCTGCAGGCCCTTGTCTCTCCTCCTCCTCTCCCAGTTACATTCTGTATTAAGTCTTTTAAACCTTCCTGATTAGCTTTCGTGATATGCAAAATAATCCTTTTTGCAAATGAGGAATGAAGCTATCCTGTTATTGACACGCAAAATGACTCTCAGTGGCCCTGCTCAAGGCTCCCATCCCCCATAGTGGCCCACCCTGGGGTGGGGAAAATATATTTTTTCTTGGACAGCCCATTTTCTGGACCCTGTCACAAATACTCTTTCGGGGGGCCCTGGCTGTGCCCCGTTGCACTTCTAGTGCCTGTGTGCTAGCTGTGGAGTTGTTGAGTCAGCAGGGTGTGTGTAAAACTCTAGTAGACCAGCTTTCCAAAACAGTCCTATCTGTGTACACTCCCACCGACACTATGTGAGTTCCAGTTGCTCCATAGCCTTGCCAACACTTGACATTGTCTTTTTTAAAAAAGTCATCCTGGTGGATGTATACTGGTGTCTTATTGAGGTTTAAAATTGCCCTTTCCTGAAGCCTAATGTAGTGGAGTGCCTTTTCAAATGTTTCTATGCTGGATGTTGGATATAGTTGTATGTGAAGTTTCATTTGTAGTCTTTTGCCCATGTTTCTATTGGCCTGTCTATGAAAGGGGTGGGAGGGGAATTGTTAATACTGCTTTCTTAACCAAGGATGACCCAGGAATAGCATATCCAGGTGCTCACCAGGCCCACTCTCACCCCCGCAATGGGGCAGACCTGGCAGCCTATAGGCTCTGGTCTCAGGTATTGTAATGGTCTCAGTGAGGGGACAATGCCCATGCTGCTTTTAGGGGAGGCAGTCCCCAAAGGCTCTGGCTTTCATATCAGGGGTCCGCCTGCCCTGGGAAGAGAGGGAAGAGAGGGGTTGATGCAGGAAGGATGGGGAGGGGTTAGTTTTCAGCCGATGGCAGGAGCACATGTGGGAATAAGCTGATGATGTGGGACTGAACTTCTACTCATCTGGGTAAGGGAGGAACTGACATCTGAATTGCACCTCCTTTGAGCCAGGCCCTGAGCATGGCAACTTCTTCTGTATTGTCTTAGTCCTCAGTTCACCTTCACCAGACAGGTAGCGCTGTGCCGCTTTTACCTGTGAGGAAGCTGTGTTGAATGACCTAGAGAAGCCCTTGTGAAGGCCACCTGCAGGACCCAGCCCTGCCCCACACCCCTGCTTGGGGAGCAGTGCATGCAGGGGTGTCTGGGGCATTGGCACAGCCACCCGCCATGCTCCCTGCTGCTCCTCCATGTCTCCTGTTCCTTAAGAGCAGATGAAGTTCTTCATCCCCAATTTGAGATTTTAAAAAAGTGGAGCCTCATGAATCATTCAACCACAGTACACCACCTGCCCCCGCTTTGTTGAGGAGGAAGGAGTGGGAACCTGAGCTTGGGCATAGAGAGGAAGGACAGAGGCCTGGAGCCTCCCTGGAATTCTCTGTGGACACTGCCAGCCATTCTGTGGAGAGTTGTTTACCCTCCCCATAGAGGCTCTGGGGGGTGGCGTGGGGCAAGTGCCTGGGGTCACTGGACTGGATGGTGGCTTCCCAGCAGGGACACAGGACTCACGGGCTCCCACCTCACTCTTGCAGAGTGATGTCATGCGCAGACCAGCAGAAGGCTCCATGAGGATTTATAGAAGATGCCCCGAGTCTCCGCACCCTTGGTGCTGCTTCCCGTGTGGCTTGTGATGGTCGCCTGCAGTCCCCACTCCCTGAGGATTGGTAAGTGCTGCTCAAACAGCACCCCAGGGGCATCCTTGCCATGGGTGATGCCCTCTCTCATTATCCCAGGTGTCCACTGAAGACATATGACCCTGTACTATGTCCCCTCACATTTGGCTGTGTTGACGGGAGAAACCTGATTCTTCTTGCTGACGCATGTAAAGAATTACATATCAGCAAATCCATTAACATACAATCAGAGTTTATTAGTGATCCATTCCCATAGAAGAGAATGGGCCTAGTTGAGATTGGGGGCAGGGGGGGTGTGAAAGACTGAGGTTCAGGGCAAAGCAGGGTGGCAAAAGTAAGAACAGCTGAAGGCCGGGGTGGCAAGGCCGCGGGCGGCCAGCGTGCCAAGAGAGCAAGTCCTTTGTTCTGAGAACTTATATAGTTGGTGGGATGGGAGTAAAAATGTTATATATCGATTAACGGGTAAGTGTGGTTCCAGCTTTCCTGGGGGGATACACATACCAAACTTAGGTATGTGTAGGGGTCTGTTAGCCTGAATCCTCATCTTGCTCCATGTGTTCATCTTGTTGTAAAACAGATATGTGACAGGAGGCTGTTAATTAAAGTCGGGGCAGTCACCCCAAGTTATTGATGGGCTGCTTCTCTGGGCACCAGGGACCCTCTCCTGCCTTTCAGGCCTTGGGATGAAGGCACAGTTTCAAGGCTTTCTTTCCCAGAGAGTGGAAACACTGCATAGAATTTCAAGGACTTCCCCCCTCCTGCACTAACATAGTGCTTCTTGTGGTGTTGGAACACCTGGCAGTGTTATCGGACCAGGCTCAGGACTGCTGAGTTAGTGGGTGAGACTTGTCTCCCTCCCCCTCCTAGCCTCCGTTTACTATTCATTCCACCTAAGTGATAAAAGGCGTTTCCTGGCAACCAGGATGCTAGACACTGGCCAGCAACAGCTGCGCAGTCTCAGACTTCTTCCTGTGCTGTCTCCTGCCTCAGCTGGGCCTGGGTGGTAGGGTTGATGCAGCTGACAGGCTCATACCGAATATGGTCAACCTTCCCAGCTCCCACTGTAATGAGCATAAAGGTGCTGCTAAGTCCCCATTACAGCTTGTGACCAACAGCCTAGCACGTGAAAGAGACAACTGTTAAGTGAGGAAGTAGGGTGGGAATGGCCCTGGCGACCCCAAATACAAGGCTGGAGATCAGGGAATAGAGGGGATCTCTTCCCTGGTCAGTCCAAGAAGGCTTCCTAAAGGATGTGCTTGGGATGAAGCCAGAGATTCCTTTGGGTGACCCTGGCCCACTGCTTGGCAGGGCTCTGGTCTTGGTATCTGTTTCCTCTGGCCTGGTTCTGGAAAGGGAGAGCCAGGTCACTTTACTGATAACATGTCCCCGCTGCTCTCTTCCTTGTCCTATTTGCTGTGGGACAAAGTGGCCCCTTGCCTCATCCATCCCTGGGGGAAGGGAAGAAGGCCTAGCTCCATGCAGAGTCCAGGAATGCCTGGGAAATCAAGTGCTCTTCCTCTTGCCCCACCCCACCCCAAACTGAGCAAAGATGGTAACTGCAGGCCAAGGCACTACTGACCTGAGTCCTGAGGACACAGCGTCAGCTGCAGGGACAGGAAATGTCTCAGTCTAGCAGACACCATGTCAGGTCCGATGGCCTGGGATGGATGTGGGTGTGGAGATTGGGGGAGTTCGGGGCATGTGTGTGTATCTGGGGGAAGGGGGTCAATGTGGACAGACTGATGGGGCACAGCAGTGAGTCATCCAGACAGGTGGGTTGTTCATTACCTGAAGGCCTGTCCAACAGCAGGCCCCCGGGGGCAATGCTAGGGAAGAGCCCTGGGGAGACCCAGACACCAGGCAGCTTATCCAGACAGGTACCCACCTGAAGAAGGCAGGAAGTAAATCCTATAAGCAAGGCAGGATCCTGAGTGCTGAACTTATCCTGAAAGGGTTAGAGGCTGATTGAGAATGACAGTGTCGTGACACTGAGTCTCAGGGAATTGGCCTAAAGCCCCAAGTCAGGGCTGCTCCCGAGGGTTCCGAAGTAGTGGTCAAGAGGCCAGGGTGGGCAGAGGCAAGCCGAGAGCTGAGGCTCTGGCTAGGGCCAGCAGCCCGCTGCAGCCCTCGAACAGCCCCAGGGTGCCCGGGGCACATCACTCCACGTGTAGGCGGAGACAGTGGACGGCAGTCGGAACTGGGGCCGGATGACTCAGTCCTCCTGCTCAGCCAGTGCTGGGCTCACCACTCTGCAAGCTTGAAAAAGAGGAACTGAAAACAAAATCTTCCCTCCCTCTTCCCCATTCCTTTTTACTGAAACTTCGAAACCTAATTCAATTATGTTAGCAGCAATGCAAAATGGCTCATATACTTAAGATGCTTAATTTATAAGATGCCTACAGTTATTCAGCAATTGCTGCAAGGTTTTCTCCCCTGTAAATGAGCGGGTAAAGTGGTAGCCCATCCATTTCCACTTGTCGCTAATGAGAAGCGGAAATGGCTGGAGCCAGAACTGGCAGCGCCTCAGGGCCTCGGCTCTCCGGACATTTGTTCTCCTAGAGGGAGGCAGGAAGTAGAACTGACAGGTTCCTTTCTTGCCTGCTACACCAACAACCGAGGACTTTAAGGGACCCTCATACTCTCAAACCTACACGTGGAGCATTATTGTCCAGCTCTGTCAAGATTGCTGGACCTCAGTTTTGGTTCATGCCAGGCCACGTCCAACTGATTTCCAGCCAGGAGCCTTGCTGGCTGGCAAGGTCAAACTGGGCCTAATCTTCTGCAGAGGCCTCCAGCCTCGGAACAGGTATAGATGGTTATGAGACCAAGGCTGCACAAAGGGACCAGGAATGTAGACCAGCTTCCCCACCTGCTCCATCCTCAGCCCCGCAGCTCCCCTGGTGACAATATGGATATTTGTAGCCAAACCCACTGCCCTGCACTGGGGCTGCTGTGTTTCATTCAAGTGAGGCACAGACTGGAGATGTAGGCAAATTATCTATTACAGTGTCCGGTGTTTAATCGGTAAATGAGGTATTGTATAAGAAAAAGGAATTTTATTTATGACTGTGAGGCTGCCCACATAAATTCCCCAGACTCTCACACATATGTCAGCCTCTTCAGTCACTGATCTTTTGAAAATGACTCTTGATTTTGCTTTTTCCCCCCTGAGTCCTCTGAATGATGAGTTTGGGAGCCTCAAGTTAATAAATGCTCTGAGAAGATCCCACCCTGCCTCTTCAGCCCTCTATGACTTAAGGGGATCATGGTAACACCTTAGAACAAAAAAGGATTCTAAGGATTCCACTTTCCAGCCTGCTTATTTCAGAGATGAGGAAGGCAGCCCAAAGTGGCCAGTGATTTGGCCAAGGTAACACAGCAAGTAGGTGGCCAAGCTAGTGGCGGCCAGCACTGGACCCCATCAGTCTGTTGGATTCCTCGCTGCCCACCCATGAGCTCCCTTAGCCTCTAGGGAAGCAGAATCCATTTCAATAGTATGTGAAGGCCATTGTCTTTTGTAGTTTCCTCCCATCCATTCTCTGACTCTAGTAAACGTTACCCTTGCCCCAAACACTTTAGGTTCTCAGTAAGCATTTGTCAGTCAAACAAATGCTGGGTTTTTCAGCCTACCTCCTGTCTCAGGTACACCAGAGAGGTTTCCTCCAGGTTTACCCATCTACCTTCTGTGCCTGGGGAGCTCTTCCTCCCATTCCATCTTCTCTGAAAAACTTCCCCTCCTCTTTCTTCATCACCAAATGATGGTATCATTGGCTTCAGTAGCTCTTCCTCTGCAAAGATCTTCCCTAATACTACTGTGTCCTTCCCAGGGATAAATCATCTTTTTCCTACCTTTCTCCCATACCCCAGACTATAGCACTCACTGGGCTCTGCTGTAATTATCATGGTACTGTGTTTCCCCACCAGACTCTGAAAGGCATGGGAAAGCAGCCCCCTGACACAGCGCCCAGTGCATGCAAGGCATTGCACAAACTCAGTGAACGTCATGGTGGAAGAACCTGTGGCCTCTGAAAGACCTGCTTCCCCAAGAACGTATTTGATATCATTGTTTTAAAGTACTTTCTCTGGTCTTATCTCTGCTAAAAGAGGTAAATGTATTGGAGGAAACAGAAGAGAAAGAAGAAACAACAGAAAAAAAAAGTCCACCTATCTGTTTTAAAAGAGGGAATGGAAATGTGATGAAGATTCTTATTGGATTCTAATGCAAATTTTGGCTCTAATCTGAAGACAATGATTCAATTATCCATTCATCACTTCACTCAATAAGTATTTTTTGAGGGGTAAGCATTGATTACCAAACAACAGTAATCACCAGTATAACTCCCACCGATGCTCTGTTAGGTGCTGTGCCAGGTATTTCACATGTTTCAGGCAATCTACATTCTATAGATGAAGAAATGGGAGCTGGAAGATTTTTCAGTAACTCATCCAAGGTTATCACACAAATACTGAAGTTTGAACCTGTCTCCAAAGCTATCTTTGCTTTGCTCTGTGGCAGCTAGTACACCCCTGGAGACATTTGGGATAGCCCGTTAATCGTGGCAGTCACATTAAATATATGGGATTCTATCTGGTAAAGGGATTGAAAAATGCAGTCATTATTGCTAAATAGCCTTTTGCTTTTCTTTGGTTATTTTACATACAAATAACTTCCTAAGGGTACAAAGCCCACCTGGTGGATAAGGACACTGAAGCTTGGGGTTTCTGAGGTTCAGTCCTGGTGGAGCAGACCCCTGCATGCAAGGGTGGCATCACACACAGCAGTGGCTCCTGTGGCAATTTCATCTCTTTCTTGTTCAAGGTTTCCCTGTGTGGTGAAGTGAAGCAGCAAGAACCTGAATCTACTTGATACCCTGCCTTACTAGGACCCACAACTACTTTACAACTACTATCTTTTACTTAGTTGCTTAGAGACAGTGCTAAACATAGAACATATAACTGTTGCAAAGATAAAGATAATGAGAGAATTGGAGGGGCAAGGGGAAAAAACAATAAACACTGACTTCTTATCC